TCCAGTTTTTTTTAAGTTGACTTTTCTCAGAGTCCATGCTAATCTTCTCTGTATCATTCCAATTTTAGTATATGTGCTGCACATACACTAAATGTGCAAGCACAGGAATTTTAGTATATGTGCAAGCAGAGGAATCCATTTTTCATTTTCAGAAGCATTAATGGATCTGGTCTAGTGTGGGGTCAGGACAGCTCTGCACACAGCAGGAGGAAGTGATGGCAAATGTTAGCTTCCTTTCTCTATACAGCTTTTAATCGTGCAGTTCACTGAAGGAACAGACTTTTCAGCCACTTCTGGTGGAATGCGCACATACTTTTTTAAAGGATATCTAGGTGGTGGAATTACTAAGCTTGTTACTACCAAGTACCAAGTTAGCAGGCTGGAAATAATCACTAACGGAAATCACTTCAAGATTTGACTAGGATTGTGTGGATCAAGTACACAGTATCTACAGATAGGAGGAGTTTCCCTTCCCTAGCCTCATCCCTCCTGTATTTCTTAAGGGGAGGGATGGGGATAGGGAGAGGAATGGCTCGGTAATGAAGGAAGGTGATCACAGAAAGCAACATACAATCCAGCTGGCAGTGACCACAGGCTGGAAGCTCATAAGGCTACAGCTGAGCACCAACAGCTCTAGCCTTGCCTCTTATGCCAAGGGCAAGCTTGGAGTGCGCACAGATAACAAGCAGAAGAAACGGATGAGGGCTTGTCAAGGTATTTCCCATCCTATGTGGTGTCTCAGATTTGCCCTTTGGCCTTGGGGGATTATTGGACTCTTCCCTTAAAGCAGCCATTAACTTCCACAGCTGTCTTAACAACCATCCTCTTGGGTCTCTTATAGCCTTTCCCTTTGACATCCCAAGTTTTGCAGAACTGGGGATAAAATGATTTGCAGGCCTGCTTAGTTCTTGGGATCAGACTACCCTTGCAAAAATATGTCTTCAAATTAGGTTTACATCTGATGCTTGCTGCCAGCTTCTCATCCCACTATCTATTCAGGCCGTAAAATGCCTCCAAAAAGCTCCTCCTTCTGGTCTTCCTGCACCAACTTAGATTCTAGCTTGAAAACGGAGGGAAATGTCACCAGTAGTCTTACAGGCCAGTTCAGAGACTGAAGGAGCATCAGAAATAAATACTAAGCCCAGCAACATCTCTTTTTCTTTTTGAGTCAGGGCCTCAATCCCAGGAGTGAGACCTGGAATGTAGTGGTGCCATCTTGGCTCACGGCAGCCTTGACTTCCTGGGCTCCGGCGATCCTCTCGCCTCAGCCTCCTAAGTAGCTGGGACTACAGGTGTGTGCCACCATGCCCAGCTAATTTTTTTTTTTAGACGGAGTTTTGTTTGAGGCGGGGTTTCGCTTTTGTTACCCAGGCTGGAGTGCAATGGCGCGATCTCGGCTCACCGCAACCTCCGCCTCCTGGGTTCAGGCAATTCTCCTGCCTCAGCCTCCTGAGTAGCTGGGATTACAGGCACGCGCCACCATGTCCAGCTGATTTTTTGTAGTTTTTTAGTAGAGACGGGGTTTCACCATGTTGACCAGGATGGTCTCGATCTCTTGACCTCGTGATCCACCTGCCTCGGCCTCCCAAAGTGCTGGGATTACAGGCGTGAGCCACCGCGCCCGGCTAATTTTTTGTATTTTTACTAACGATGGGGTTTTGCCACGTTGCCCAGGCTGGTCTCGAACTCCTGGGCTAAAGTGATTCGCCCATGTTGGCCTCCTCCCAAAATACTGGAATTACAGGCGTAAGCCACTGCCCCTGGCCAGCAACATTTCTTAAAAGTACTCCCCTACCTTTGGTTACATAAAATGTAGGAACTGCAACTGTCAGCATTTATGGATGACACAAACATTCATGTGTTTGGCTATACCCAAGCAGCTCTGAAGGCCAGTGTATGAGGTCTTGTCATTTTGCTGAAGCTCAGATGTATGCCCAGAGCCACGATGTTCCTCAAGATCATTAACTAAGTAGGCTCAGCCACTCCCCAGCCTCCACATCTAGATATGGTATAACACTGTCTACTTAAGCACAGTTATTTGTAAAGTGAGAAGATGTGTGTTTTGCAGGGAATGGGGCAAGCATAAAAAACACCAACCACAACAAACTGGCTGTAGTGCTTGTGATGGAAGGGAAGCACACATGGAAAGTCATGTTTCTTCTTTTTTTTTTTTCCCTTTCAGAGACAGGGTCTTTCTCTGTTGCCCAGGCTGGAGTGTGGTGGCTCAATCATAGCTCACTGTAGCCTCAAACTCCTGGGCTCAACTGATCCTCCTCCCTCAGCCTCCTACCTAGCTGGGGCTTCAATCATGTGCCACCATGCCTGGCTTAGATTTATATTATTTTTTGAGACAGAGTCTCACTCTGTCACCCAGGCTGGAGTGCAGTGGCGCAATCTTGGCTCACTGCAACCTCTGCCTCCCAGGTTCAAGCGATTCTCCTCCCTCAGCCTCCCAAGTAGTTGTGGCTACAGGTGTGTGCCACCATGCCCGGCTTTTGTATTTTTAGTAGAGACAGGGTTTCACTGTATTGGTCAGGCTGGTCTCGAACTCCTGACCTCCTGTCCTGTTCCACCCACCTCGGCCTCCCAAAGTGCTGGGATTAGAGGCATGAGAAAGGTTCTGGAGACCCTTTCAAGGTGTCTATCTGGTCAAAACCATGTTCACAATACAAAATTAATGGGACTATTTTTTTCACTATCATCCTGTCAAGGAGTGCACAGAATTTTCCAAGGATATGACCTGTGATCTCATGATAAACTGAATATAGAAGGAAATGTGAGATTCTTGTTGTTCTCCATCAAGTCATGCATTAAAGAGATTTGCAAAAACGTCACTCTTCTCAATAAAATGTGTCTGATTTGGAAGATTTTTTTTCTTTTTTCTTTCTTTCTTTTTTTAAAAGATGGGGTTTCACCATGATGGCCAGGTTGGTCTTGGAACTCCTGACCTCAGGTGATCCATCCACCTTGGCCTCCTGAAGTGCTAGGATTACAGGCGTGAGCCACCGCGCCCAGCCTGAAGATTTTTTCATAAAGAATTAAAAAATTTCATTAAAACTTTTTTTTTTTTTTTGATACAGGGAGTCTTGCTCTGTCGCCCAGGCTGGAGTGCAGTGGTGTAATCTTGGCTCACTGCAACCTCTGCCTCCTGGGCTCAGGTGATTCTCTTACCTCAGCCTCCTGAGTAGCTGGGACTACAGGAGTGTGCCACCATACCTGGCTACTTTTTTGTAATTTTTAGTAGAGACGGGGTTTCACCGTGTTAGCCAGGATGGTGTCGATATCCTGACTTTGTGATCCACTCGCCTCAGCCTCCCAAAGTGCTGGGATTACAGGCGTGAGCCACCATGCCCAGCCTAAACTTTAAGAGGCAAAGTCTCGCTCTGTCACCCAGGATGAAGTGCAGCAGTGTGATCATAGCTCACTGCAGCCTTGAATTCCTAGGCTCATGCAATCAGTCCTTCTGCCTCAGCCTGCCAAGTAGCATGAAGCCGCTAGGCCCAGCTAATTTTTTAAACTTTTTTTTGCAGAGACGGAACCTTGCTACGTTGCTCAGGCTGGTCTGGAACTCTGGCTTCAAGCAATCCTCCCACGTTGGCCTTCCAAAGTGCTGTGATTACAGGCATAAACTATCCATCATTCCTGGCCCAACATAAAATTATTTATATTAACATGAAACATGTTATTTTTAAAAGGGATTAAATACTTAATATATATATATATATATATTTTAAATAAAAAGATGGGGTTTCACCATGATGGCCAGGCTGGTCTTGAACTCCTGACCTCAGGTGATCCACCCACCTCAGCCTCCCAAAGTGTAGGATTACAGGTGTGAGCTACTGTGCCCGGTAATATTTTCTATCTTAATTTTTAATATACTAAGTATTGACAGAATGCACATAAATGGAAGCGCTCTTAAATTTTTTTTTTCCCAGACTATGAAGGGCTCCTGAAATAAAAGTTTGGGCATGGTGGCTCATGCCTGTAATCCCAGCACTTTGAGAGGCTAAGGTGGGTGGATCAACTTGACGTCAGGAGTTCAAGACCAGCCTGGATAACATGCTGAAACCCCGTCTGTACTAAAAATACAAGAAATTAGCCAGGTGTGGTGGCGCATGCCTGTAATCCCAGCTACTCTGGAGGCTGAGGCAGGAGAACTGCTTGAGCCTGGAAGGCAGAAGCAGTGAGCCAAGATTGAACCATTGCACTCCAGCCTGGGTGGCAGAGTGAGAACCCATCTCATAAAAAAAAAGAAAAAGTTGAGAACCACTGTCCAGTGTAATGCTGGCTGCACAGGAAGCACCGAACACTGACTACTAGGCCATCCAGCATTCTGCACTGTTTCCATACAACTTGTGAGATCTTTCACACACACATTTTTTGGAAAATTGGACGCCAGATTTAACATAGTTTCTTCTGAGGTTCACTTTGACCAAAAGAAAACAAAAAGATAAAAAGCTTTTAGGAACAGAGCAGAACCACATAGCCCTTAACACTGGGAGTATGACTGGCTACTGCATGTCACTTACAGAATTACTGTGTAATTTACTTCCAAGATGAAACTTACATGTCAGTGCTTTTGACATACAAACCAGAGCAGCTGCAAGCTTTTCACTAGCATCAACCGATGAGTAGAAAAATATTCTAAAATTTGACGCCTCTGGGTTCATGTAGTTTAAAAGAATATGGTGGTGTTCTGTGATTCATATACTACCATTCCTCAATGAAGCTATTTTAAGTAAAAAAATTAACATTTGGTCAAAAACAGATTTATAATTATCTACACAAACCTGGTGGGGCCCAAGACAGCTTGTAAGGTGGACTTTATGAATTCTTGTGCACGGTTCTTCAAGATAAATCTTCATGGCAACAAAAACTGGGCAGATTTGTGGAATTTGGAATCAGTAACCCTGCTTAAAACCAACACTGCTCCCAAAGCCAGAGAAGGCTTCTGCTTTAGCTGTCGTTAGTGACAAAATTCACAGTCTAGCCCGGACCTAAGCACAGAAAGCTTTTATTACCACAGAGGAAATCAGGAAATGCTGGAGACAGCCTCATTAGCTGTGTGATCAGGGAGGGGGCAGGCAGGCAGGCAGTAACCTGTCATCAGTCATGTCTAGGCAGTCTCCCAACCAACAGGTCTGCTTGGTTCAGGAGAGGCTTTTGGTGGGCTGTGTGTCTGTGTAACTCAGGAAGGTCAGCCTCGACAAATGGGCCTCTTCCTGGACAAAGGACAGCCAGAACCAGGGAGACCAGCTGCACAGACATCACCTTAAAATGGAAATCAAATTAGGTTCATTACATCAGGAAGTACATTTCACCCTGATCACAAAAGAGGGAAAAGGGAGCACTAGGCTCTGCTGGATAAGATGCTTTGAAAAGTTAAACATTGGCAGGGCCTTTCCCCTTGCTAACAGCAAGCAGCGCACAATTTTCCAGTCAGCTTTTAAAGCTATTGTTATCTTTGTTATCTGTTATTATTTGGATTTTGAACGAAATTGATGGAGTAGGAGCCAGTAGAGGAATCCTGTTTGATCTGGAAATTTTCCGTGGAGAGCCCAAAAGGTCGGAGTACCAAGTTCCCAAGATCTTTTAATTTACCTGTAACATAAAAGCAAAGACTCAAATGAATACAGGAATGAACAGAAGCAGGAAGGCACCAATTAATCTTGCCTTACCATTGAGTACAAAATATAAAAGTATCTGTTTGCAGTTAAGGAAATGCCTACTTTTAATATGATGAAAGCTTCCAGGAGAGTTCCCAGCCCCTGTTCCCCACTCAGCAGTGCCGTCGCTTCAATGCCATCCACCCCAAGCCTGTGCTTGCATAGATAAGAGTGGAGTCCTGCGGCTCTCTCTGGGAGATCAAAGCCTCCTGTCCTAAGTGGCCAGTACTATCAAAGGACACAGTCCTCTGGGGTGAGTGCAGGGAAAACCAACTGCTGTTACAGTGGTGCTCACAGCATCGTGCCAAGCCAGGTCTGCCCGGTAGTGAGGGCAGAGGTCCCTCCAAGTCTCTTCTCTCTAGACAGCAGCCACCTGCTAAATTTAGTTTAACTCAGCAAATTTCCACTGAGCCTGGATTCACACTCAAGAGCTTCCTGCTTTCCTAAGCAAATCCTTAGCTTCTATACCAAATTAACAATTTCTTAGAAATGGGATCTTGTTCATTTGTGCAGCAACCTCAATAGGACTTTAATAGTCCAGGCTCCTCTTCTCAAGTTTCAGGCTTTATTTACTTATGAATCGGGTGACGTATGTAGGCTGGGTACGGTGGCTCACACCTATAATCCCAGCACTTACGGAGGCCGAGGTGCGTGGATCACTTGAGGTCAGGAGTTCAAGACCAGCCTGGCCAATATGGTGAAACCCCATCTCTACTAAAAATCCAAAAATTAGCTGAGCGTGGTGGCATGTACCTATAGTCCCAGCTGAGGCAGGACAATTGCTTCAACCCAGGAAGTGGAGGTTGCAGTGAGCTGAGATCACGCCACTGCACTCCAGCCTGGGCGACAGAGCGAGACTGTCTAAAAAAAAAAAAGAAGCGCTGGGCGCGGTGGCTCACGCCTGTAATCCCAGCACTTTGGGAGGCCGAGGCGGGTGGATCACGAGGTCAAGAGATCGAGACCATCCTGGTCAACACGGTGAAACCCTGTCTCTACTAGAACTACAAAAAATTAGCTGGGCATGGTGGTGCGTGCCTGTAATCCCAGCTACTCAGGAGGCTGAGGCAGGAGAATTGCCTGAACCCAGGAGGCGGAGGTTGCGGTGAGCCGAGATCGCGCCATTGCACTCCAGCCTGGGTAACAAGAGTGAAACTCTGTCCCAAAAAAAAAAAAAAAAAAAGAAAAAGTCATGGTATATAACCAACAGTTCTTGCCAAGCATGGTGACTCACGCCTGTAATCCCAGCACTTTGCTGGGGTGAGAGGATGTTGTGAGCCCAGGAGTTCAAGACCAGCCCGAGCAATGTGGTGAGACTCTTATCTCTACAAAAAAAATTTTTTTAAAAAACAAAAAACTAACAGTTCTGATGCTGTTTTTAAGATATAAGAGGGTTATGGAGTTAATATGTCAAAAGTTGGAATTTCCAGAACATTTCAGAAATCTAAAGGGATTTACAGAGCAGTGGAATGCAACATCTGAAACTAGGAATGTTCCAAAAAATTTTGGCTGGGATGGGTGAATAAACAGTTTTGACCCTTTCTAAACTGCTTTAATTTTTCTTGCAGGTCTGCTTCCAGTGGAGGTGAGAATGGGGGAAGATGAAAAGAGAAATCCCTAATCACCAGAGGTACAGGCTCCTTCCCACTTCTTAGCCGCTTTTCTCACTCTGCAGCCTCCTATCTTAGAGTAAAGCCCAGGTAAAGACCTTAAAGATGCATGGCCTTGGCTGGGTACAGTGGCTCACACCTGTAATCCCAGCACTTTGGGAGGCTGAGGTGGAAGTATCACTTGAGCACAGGAGTTCAAGACCAAAAGTTCTCACCATGAGTTATTAAGAGGATCACTTGAGCCTAGACGTTTGAGACCAGCCTGGGCAATACTGGGAGACCCTGTCTCTACAAAAATTTAGAAATTAGCTAGGTGTGGTGGCACACACCTGTTGTCACAGCTACGTGCAGGCTGAGGTAGGGGGACTGCCCGAGCCCAAGGAGTTCAGAGCTACAGTGAGCCGTGATCATGCCGCTGCACTCTAGCCTGGGTAACAGCAAAAAAGACGCATGGCCTTTACACCTTAAAGGCCTTCCTAATAACTCGTGCTGAGAACTTTTGCTCTTGGGCTTAAGAACTAGCCCAAAGAGGCTCATCATGTCCAGAGAAAGGCCAATCCATCTTGGGATAAAACATTTAATTGAGAAAGCTCCCAGAATCTGGGACAGCCGTTCTCCAGGCTGGCTTCCCAAACCTAAACCTGGGACACACACGCTCAGTGCTACTGCTTGTGTCGCTGGCATAAACCCTGGGTGCCTGCACAAGGGAGCAGCACAGCCTCAGGCAGACGGGTGTATAGGGAGGGGCTCACAACAAGCAAGAGAAAGACAGGGCAGCCTCAGGGCAACCTGAGTTAGCAACGCCAGCCAATCGAGAGGGCTGGCAGTTTGTCCTGGGTTTGGAAAAAGAGGATGGGGGTGGGGTGGGAGAACCATTAAGAGTGGCCCAATAAAATGCTGGTACTGGGAAATCCTTGGCTCTTTTGACATGGAGTGAGTGAAGTGAGAATGAGTCTCAAGAGCCACTCACATCAGACTCCTGAGGAGGGGCAGCTCCAATGGTGGAGAAGCCTGTGGTCCAGGTACTCTGGATGGTCCACTGAGCCCAGGGCCACTACCTGGATAGAGGGAATCACTGCAAGCCCATCTCCAGTGCCAGAAAAACAATTTAAAGTACAAACTGGAGATTTTACTTAGCATCTATTATGTGAGCCAATGGGATGTAAAGAATAATAATTTCCACGCGCGATGCTCACAGTCTAGTGGGGAGGCAGACACAAAAGACTGAAGTGTGCTTTCTGACCTTGCAGTGGGACGAGGAAGCCTTTTCAGGAGAGGCCACATGCCACAGTGCTCTAGGGGATGGGAATAGGCCCAGGATGCTGGCTATGTCACTGTGCTTGAGATGGCAGCGTCCTCAGGCAGCAACGGTTTGGCTTTAGGCTGGTTTGCACTAAAGGAGTTTTCCCTCTAGTGCAGAAAGATCATTCCAAGCTAGGACTGCAAATATGACTTCAAACTGCCAATAAGAGGAAGAATTCTCTTTCCCAGGCCCTCACTTTGCCTAACTGGCTAATGGGCCTGTCTGCCACAAGCTACCTTTGAATTTTTAGCTTGGTTGATTCTATGGTGTGGCAGTCGTGAAGATGTGCTTCTCCAAATGCAAGGGCCAGAGTGGCTGCACTCTAAAATCCATTAGCACATTCATGCAGAGGCCACCCCTCCCACGTGCTGCTCCCATCCAACACCTGAGCATGCCAGGAGCTGACCAGGGACTCGTTTGATGGGCAGCAGTGGCTCCCCAATGGCTTTGCTGCAACTTTCTCAGCATCACACTTCAGTGGAAAGCTTCCTCCCTCCCCGCCTTCCTCCTCCACAGGGGTCTGTCAGCTCTGCCAACACCCTCCAGCTCCCAGTCCCATTTTCCCTTGCAGGTGTTTCCCCCAATAAATCTCTTGTACTTCTAATCCTATCTTGGCTTCTATTATTTGGATGACCCAAACTAACACATAATTTTTCTTTTTCCTTCAATTCCAGTATCTCTGCCTTTATAATATTCCACAATAATTTCACCAACCATCACTTACAGAACAGAATAGAAAATGCAAAATTCTGCTTTCTAAATGTGACTACATATATATAATACCTGGCAGGTAGCAGATACCTAATAAAAGACACACAAATAAACAGTCTGCATTAGAGAAGACCTAAGGTCACCTGACATAGATTGATTCAACCAACATGTACTGATGACATGTGTGGCACTTGCTGTGTGTGGTGGAGATTCAAAGATACGTGGCATGGTCTATCACCAAAACAAGTTTAGAATTTGAAAAGGAAGACAAGACATACAAAAACAACTCATATGTAGCTGAGTTATAAAATGCTCTGAGAGTCAGGAAGGGGAAGATTTCTTCCAGCTGGAGCAGGAAGAGAGGAAAGGAGTGGAGGAAAGAGGCGATTTGGTCTATCTTTGTGTAAGAGATTGCACTTGAATCAGGCACCAGAGGCCATAGGACTGCAGCCATCTGAGACAGAGGTGGTGTCAGTGCAAGCAAAAACAGCCTGAGCCAATGGACAGAGGCAGGCAGGCGAGCCATGGGTCCAATGGGGCTGAAGCGGGGCGGGCAGGTGCCTCCTGCCAGGCTTTCCTGAGCCAGGCCCATCAGCCTATGGTGCCCATGCCATAGGAGGCCACTGACAGCTTGAGAACTGAGCATTCTGGGTTAGTAATCCTGTGGCAAAATGATGAAAGAACCAGAAGGGGAGACCACGGGGGTGGTTCTGACAGAAAGTTAGTCCCTCATTATGGGAAAGAGGCCATTTATTCACTGAACAAACATTAACATTTCTACAATGCTTGGGTAGATGGGCTTTGAAGCCAGAGTGTGGCCAGTGGAACATAAAAGGGCAGAACAGTACGGTAGAATCAACAAGTTTTTAGTGACTGAAAAATTTACCTTTTGCCGTTTGTGCTGATGACAGAGAAGCAACAGCCTTCAGTACAGCTCAGGCTCCTAAACACATGCACACTCACACACCCACAAATTTTTCTGCCTGCTGTGTAGAGTCAGGTTGGGTGCTCAGATGCTACAGCAGCTTCCTTGTATCCAAACAGGGTCATCTGCCAAACTAGTCTATCTGCCACACTTTCCACTGGCTGTCAAATTCTGTCTCCCCGATCTGGACAGTAATCAATGAGGTTTCCTTGTTTCCACCTATAGCACATGTGGAACCTTCACTCAGCCTGAACATGTCCACATGTCCCTAACTATTAGGGACCCTTCTATTAGACTAGATCCCACGGCAAAGAGAAGAGTTCAAAGCTGCTCGTGCTTAGACAAGAATGTTTAGAAACAGGGATTGGTGCTTGCTACTAGATTCAGTT